GGTGTTTTCCCAACTGAGAAGCCTATAAAAACCTTGTCTTGAACATGTATCCACTTGTGTGCATTCATGTTCCTGTGTGCTCTTACTGTCACTCTTTTCAACACCAATATCTCAGAGCGACTCAAAGTCTCAGTGCTTAGTCTTATAGCAATAATGGCTCTTGAGAAAACTGTAGCCCCAGAGTGGAATCGAAAGGCTCAGAAACCCAGAGGCAACAAAAAAGTTAACAGATTTGTTTCAGGTGTTAGTTTCTAAATAGCTTTTGAGGTGTGTTTTCCTTGAGTTTTTAAGGACTTACTGCCAGAAATATTCAATGTGATATGCAATACTCAGCCCAAATCAAATGACAGACACTGCACAAAAATGAACAATAAATCACTAGGAGGGCAGGACATAAGCTTGTACTTCTGGAGTCCTTCCCTTGTGCCTTGGTGACAGAACCAGCCACTTCCTTTGCATAACACACATGTAATAATTTGGTCTAGACTCTTGTTCTAAGTCACACAGATGGGAAGGAAAACCACAACTTTTCCAGGAAGGAGCCTATTGTGCACCCTCACTTTTCTGTTGCTCCTTTAAAAGATCTAAGAGTAGAGACATATGTAGGCCTTGAATCAGAACATGGTCTGCAAATATCTCAAATGAGCCTCGCCAAGTTAAAAGGTTCATTTAAATTACAATCCCATACTTGGTTTGGAATAGTTATTTACTGTTTCATACAACAGTAAATGGGAGGGAAGGTAAACCATGACATAACAGTAGAATACTTTTTATATCTTCTGTGCAGTATCTGTAGGAGTTGTCTTGGTAGATCTTTTCTTCTCAGATCATCTAACCAAACTGAAAGTTGTAGGTAGGTAGATAGATAGCAAAAGGTGGTAAAAGACAGACAGAAATAGCTCTCAGCAGGAGAAAGGGCCATTGTAGCCATGGACACTCAAGCACTAAGGGCAGTCAGAGGTGCTCTTGGAACAGGCCAGGTGTCACTGCAGGAAGGCTCTTAGAATTACCTGCTCCCTGGAACATGCAAGAGTGATGGTGCTGACCACAGAACACTCTTTAGAGAGCTTTGTAATGCTGTGCATATCGTGCCCAGCTAAAATTTGTGTTCCGAATTACACTGACAAACATCTGCAGATGAGTAATTTCAGATGTTTTCAGTTTGTTCATACCCACGTCTTTGCTAGTGGAAGAGCACAGTTGAGGGCTTCCAGGTTTATGGCACTCTTTTATGCTTCTTTTCCTAAGGTGAAGAGAGACTTTGTGCACATGCAGTGCAGAGATGAAAACTCGAGGGAGCAAGGGAGATGCTAAAAGACTATGATTTATTAGGGACTTAATGGCAGTTACCTCATACCACTTTCTGCTGAAATGATTCCTTTTCTATTTTTACCCTCTTCACCTTTTCCTGTATTCACTTGCCATAGAATTTGAATTAACATCTTCTGTAGCAAATCCCCATAGTTTGGGTTAAGTAATGAATTAATTTGCAACTTAGAATAAGCTTTAGCTTTCCAAAATGCATGCACTGCATTTTTCCACAGGAATGAGAGAAGAAAATATTTGTATTTGCTAAATTAATGTGTCTTACATGTTAGGTCATGCACCAAAGTTTGGCAGAATAGCATCACTGATGTGCAGAGGTATCCAGTCCTCCTCCATTTACTTCTTCCCATGAAGGGTCTCAAGCAATCTGTTAAAATAGGTGATCTGCTGATGGAAACCTTCAGCATAAAGCAAAGCGCAAAAGGAAGTCAGAAGTTACATAAAAAAACAAGCCAAAACAAAACCAAAAAACTCCAAAAATCAAGGAATATCCCCAGCTCGGGGCTAGGGGTTGAATGATGTGTTAGCAGTTTCCAGGAAAGCTGATGGTCATTGTAAACCTTTAACTTCCTGGTTCCTTAATTGTAAATAAGTAGTGAAAAGAATACAGCAGCAGCTCTGTAATGTCATTGCCTAGGAAGAATTATTGCTTTTGTGCAAAAATGCCAGTATGCCCAAAGGGGTGGGGAATTGCCCTGTCTGCTTCTGTTGAAGTGAGAGAAAGTGTGAATACTTACACAGGCTGAAGGTTTATCCACTATGCTCTCTGCTGCCTTTCCTCTGTGCCAAAGACACAAACAGAGTGCATCTCTTAAGTCTCTGTGGAAACTTAAGTGGTGTGGGACAGGAAAGATACAGTTGATTTGTTTCAAATATTGCTGCACACTGATCTGCCCATGTGTATTTGGAGAATCCTTTGTGGCAAAGTGATGCACAGATGTTACAAAAGGAGTCAAAGAAAATTGGCTGCAATTTAGCAAAGGTTGAGCAAGAAGGGAAATGATGACCATGAGTCCCATTGCTCTCTATCTGTCTTGGAGAAGAAATGTTGGGCAGCTAGGAGTTGGGAGAACATCAGTCCAACCACAGCCCCAAACGTCTGAATGTACCTTAGACCCTAAGCCTAATCTTTTGTGATTTTTGTAAGTGTTTTGCTGTTTTATAGGTGTTTCCTAAGGATAGTGGAAAGACCAAGACTATGGTTCTTACTTGCCTCCAACACAAGAGCAGCACTCTGGCTCTTAATTTTGTACTTTCCTTTTGTGTTTGATCGTCTGAAAAGGAGGTTTAATCATGTTTTCAATTCTTTCTTTTGAGACCCTTAGGGAAAAGTGCTAGGAGGAACAGTGCTATTACAGATAAGCTTCCACATTATCCACAGCTAGAGTTGACAAAAATAGCACAGAACTGGAACCACAGCAAGGGCTGGGGTAAGGAACAGTAAGGGAAAGTCGGAGAAGTTCCTGGAGTTTAATGTTGGACTAGGAAGAGATACTGAGAGCCCTGATCACCAATAGTAATTAGCTATCAAGGACTGTACAAGGATCTCTACAGATCTGGCAAGGTATAACAAACAAGTAGTAATTGCTAAGTAGGATGATTCACTCTTAAAAATTATTAATCATTCTATGAATTTTGATGAGGATGAACAGATATAATGTATTAATTGCTATGTGATGATTAATATATCCTCAGGTTGTGGGAGTCCTAATTAAAAAAAATTATATTCACTTTAGTAAGATTCATTCCAGGATATGATACTATTAAGTGTGAGCGTAGGCATTAAAATTGTGCCTGCAAAAAGCATGTTAGATAGTTTGGGTCCTGGATGAATTTGGTCTGTCAGAGTTGATGATATTCATCTGCAAGCATTTACCTTCAAATTGCTTTTATAAGGGACCTGGTCTTGTAGCTTACGAATACTCTGGTGATGCTGAAGGGAACAGAAGTGTTTCCGTTGTATATAATATGAGGATGTGCGGCCTTAAGATCAGCAATTCAAAATTAATGAGCACACTTTATATAATGCTATACTCCAGTAACATCTTATTGTCATTTCTTTCTACTTGTAATGCTTTCATTACAAAGTTTATAACAACAAATCTTTTTCTCTAGTCTTGTTGATAGCGAGAACTTCAGTGAGGAAGCATAGCTCCCTATAACAGAGATTCAGTAGACTGCCTTGGTCTGTACTGTAGTGTAGCAGATACAATCATCCTTCTTTTCCCTGGCTCAGCAACAGTACTATTTAACAACCTGTCCCGATAATGAAAGCTAAATCTGTTTCCACACACAGGACTGAGCTCTGACAAAAATGTGAGCCATGAGAGACAAATTCTGTCTAAAGTCTTGACCAAAGCAGGGAACTGTAAAGACTGGCTTTTAGAGTAGTCTGATCTTATTTTATGGTGCAGTTTGGAAGTGCTGTAGTTCCATGAGTATCACTAAGAGGTTTTGTAGAATGAAAAGCCCACAGGTTAGCAGCAGTGCAGGCTCCATCCATGTAGTAATATGAGTGGAACTTCATTCCAGAAGCACCTCTGCCTATACCTCTCCTCTACCCGTCAAGGTCTTCAAATGCCATTTTTTCTCTCTCTGAACAGAGAGCTCTTCCATTTCTGCTTCTGATAATGTGGGGATCACCCGAGAAAGGTATGAACTTTTAAGTACATGAACTTTTGAAGAGATATTGTCTGAAACGTGAGCTTTACAGCTGAAATGTGGTGTAGAAAGCTTGGAATCAGATTGTTCAAAAGCAATCTGAGTCATGAGTTAGCAATAGTTAGCTCTAGCTACCTTGCCCATAAGTTCTCAGATTTGTGCTGTCATCGTGGGGCCCGTTTCAACAGTATCCATCTGCATTATAATCATGCAAACAAACATGCAATTTGATTCAGGTTTATAGAAAGTTTATTAAAATTCAAAGCCTTCTGTTGGTAGCATGTATCAGTTTTAAGATACAATGAGAAATTTTTATGTACATAGCTCTCTAGGGCAGGGAGTTCCTATGAGTTTGTGAAATACAGATTCCAGACATGGTTTGTTCTTATTCAGAGAAAAGCAATGGAAAAAGCAAACCAGTTGTTTCAAGTTTCTTTCACATGAGAGCAAAATTGAAGTAACTTCACAGATGTCATTGGTAGGATAAGGCTTCACCTGGGCAAGACTGAAGAGAGTTACACTCACTGAGTTACACTGAATTATTCCACATCGTCCCTTAGTGAGAATATTCACACACCTTTGAACTGAGCTAATAGTGCAATACTATGTGTAAAAATAGAAGATTGAAGGATCATCTTCTGAATATGGAACTGATCAGGTGATATCCTGAAGCATGAAACCAGTTTGTGTATAGGTTATATAGGTGTGAATGACTCACTTACACAGCATCTTCTTAAAACCAGCACTCAATGAGGAATGCTCTGATCTCCATCAGCAGGGAGGCCTGCACTCTTCCAGCTCTGTGGGTAGTCATCTTCACTACACTGTGTGAAACTATCAGTCATTCACTGTTAAATGCCATCCTGGTCAGGACAGCAAGGATGTGATGATATCTACATTCAGTTGTAAAGAAAGATTAGCAAGCATTTCAGAAAATATATAACAGAGTTCAGCCATAAAATGAAGAAGTCTGCAGGCATTCAACCAGTGATGAATGGATTCTGGTCAGTTTGTGTTTGTTCAAAGACTTTATTGCCACTTAATAAATAGGAAATAAAAGCAGATAGTAAGGTTTTCTTCCTTGTTATCTGCAGCACTGATGATGATTCCAGATGGTTGGCCTTAGATGCTTGGATTATTTGTGTTTTGCAGTACGCTTTTCATCTATAGTCTTTATAGCAGTCTGCACCCATTTCTGATCAGGACTTACACAGATCCTGATACCTCTTGCAGTAATAAACCTATAGAAAAAAGAAAAGCAAACCAGCTGGGCATTAAATTCCAGGCTCTCAACCCAGGTCTGCTGTTCTTGGTTTTGATGCAGAACATAAGTAAAAATGTGGTAAAACAATATCAAATGCCAGAGTTTGTAGGTGTTACTTAGAAAAACACCATTAAAAACGTTATTTCCCTATTTATGACATTGGTAACATACGTGGTCTTGTACATATATACTGATATTAAAAGAAATCAAGCATACCTGCTATTCTGGGATTTTATGTTAAATCATGATGAACATTTATCTCCCAGGAGCAGATCCCAGATGTGATAAAAATGCGTGCTTGTGAGCTCAAAGGACCAAACACAGCTCCTAGCAAGACTCAGAGTAACCGCATATTCTTTCACATCTTTCACATCAGTTGAGTTCCCTTGACTCAATTCATGCATGGAACCTCTGACTGCTCCACTCTTGCTGAAAATTTTCCCTGTTCCCTGGGCACAAAGATGGGACTGGTCAGTGAGCTTCCTGCCATTATTCATGAGCAGCACACATCTCCCAGCTTTCTGAGGCCTGATCTTCTCCCCTCACTCCCTCAGCTGCCAGGTGACTCCTCCATGGAAGAAGTGGATGGGTGACCTGGGCCAGCCAAATTTAGTGAGTTGGGCCATGAATGGTATTCTGATGCCTCTTCCCTATTTGATGGTTTTGTGTTTACATAAGGAAGTCTGAAGGATGAATGGGATACTTACATGATGGCATTTATTGGTATTTGTTGCCTTTCATACCTCACGAGATTTTGGATGTTCAACCGACTTGTAGACAGATTTACACATTTGAATTTGCGCATGGCCTCGCTACTGGCACTCCCTAGAAGGGAGAAATAGATAAATGAAAAGGGAATAAATATTTTTTTTATCGATATTTAGCCATACTTGCATAATAAATCAGGAATTCCAAAAGATTTCTATTGGTGGTTAGACCATGATGTTCTCATGATGTACCAGTTATACCAGAGAGCTTAAGCTATTTTTTGTGATGCATCCTACCATCTCTAAAGTGTTGTCTATCCCCAAGGAGTCACTGCTTCCACAAGAGTAGAAGTGTTTGACATCATTCATGATTAGGCCTGCAAGTAAGAACCCATGTGGAGGTAGCATTCAGAACTGGAACATTATTGGGTGGATTTCCAGATATCTTTAAATATGGATCAGTATTTCCTCCTATTTCCCAAGTGAAGACAAGGAAAGCAAGGCTGCTTCTCTCACCGTGGGCATCCAAAAGTAGCATTAACAAAAGTTGTTAACAGAATGAGAGATATATCTGCCAGAAGAATCAGTACTTATATCCTCTGGCTAAAACTCCAATTTCATAGGTGGTGGGGTGTTTCTTAATCCCTGCATTCCTCCAAGATTTTGATACAATTCAGAGAAACGCAGTGGTGATTTAAAAAGAGGATCACAATATTGGTATAACATTTTCTGGGCAGTTGTTATCTTACATGATGATCGCTGAAAATGGGAGCTTGTTCAAATGTAATGGAGTTTACATTAGTGTTAGTCTCCACTTGCCAGTTTTTGGTTTTCTCCCATTCATGAAAGACAGGTTCGGGAAAGCATGCTGGGGGACATGCTTTTAATAAAGCATGTGGGCTTTTAATAAAGAATTTATAGAGCTACTGGCTTAAGTAAAGTCCAAGAGCTGTTCTGGTGCAATTTGCTAAATGTAAAACCTGCTACCTGAGACAAACACACATCAGTCTTTGGAGAAGGTGTGGGAGAGCCAGTGCACAGGTACTGGTAGATCTGCTAATTCCTGAGATTTTGTTTGCCTTAAGAAATATGAGGGAATATCTCTTCTGATCTTGCTTTAGTCATGAGTGATACAGCATGTTTTTTTATGATTCATGACAGATTTCTTACTGCCTCAGACTGGTTTTCAAAATGTGGCAATAAAAGAGGTCAAAGACAGTCAAGCAATCCTTACTAGTCCTGGAAATATTTCCTCTGTTACTACACAGTGTTCAGGGAATGGATGCAGGGTATAGCAGCAAAGCTTCTCTAAGGTTGGGAACAAACCCCAACTGCTCTGCACCTATAACTACCACTTTTCCCCAGGTGTATTTGGGGTTTTTATCATTCTTTCTTGTCCTTTTTTCTCTCTCTTGTCTCATCTCTCTTTTCTCTTATGGCCAATTATACAGCCTGGACAATGACATGGGAAATGGGCAGTCTGTGATTTGAAGCCATTGGTGCCAGGATGAAGAGCAGTGTCACCAATAAAAGAGGAGGATGTAGTGGGATGTAGCTGGAGAGGCAGTGGGTCAGCATAAGGGCTGTGTAGCTTCATAGTCCTGTGAATGCTTAGCAGGTCTCAGTTTGGTTTTGGTGTGGTTTACTGTGGATTCCTTTTCTCAGTGTTTCTGAGTGCATATTTGTGGGTTTGCATATGGCTTGCATATCTGTGTTTTGTGTGAAGTCTACTTGTGATGAGATGATGCGTGTAATGTGTCCATGTTCATGTTTCTCCATGATCCACGGAGCCTAATCCTAAAGTCACTGACCAAATCAGCACTACAATCATATGTAGAGTCTGGGTAATAAACATGGCTCATCCCAGTGTTCATAAGTGCATTGAAAGAAGATGTTCAATTATATGATTCAGTGAAAAGAGAGAAGGTACTGTTTAAATCTGTTATTCCTCCTTTTACTTCCCATTTCTAGTTTCCCTATCTGTACTAAAAGATTTGTCCAGAAACAAGCGAATAAACTATATGGGATATAGAAATGGAAGAACTTTGCAAAATAGCAGTATTAGAGGGATTAAGTCGATATAGTTAGAGAAAGGCAAATAACAATTAATAGAATAAAATTCATATAAGAATGATCTACCTGGGAAAAGAAAAAATGTACATCTTATCCAAGAAGGATTTTTCATGAAATGTTATTAACCTATACTACACACAGGTATGTGGCATCAGTGAGACTAAAAGATATTGTGCCTTCAAGATTTTTTTATTTTGAGAGAGAGAACATTGCACAGAAACCCTTTAAGTGCTCTCAGGCACAGACCCTCGCCTTGCATTGAAGCAGAAACCAACCACCTTGTGGCAGGACATCAGATGAAATCCCCCAGGAATCTGCCTTTCTTGCAGTTTTCATCTGGATTTCTTGTGCATTTTATCTTATAAATCAGCTATCTGTAACAATGAATCCTGCTCAGGAGACCACAGGTGGAATGTGGAGTAATTCCTGTCTTCCTCTCAAGTGGCAAACTTACCTTTGACTGTGTGCACAGTGAAGATGCCAAGCCAGAAGAGGAGCAGGATTGCTGTGGTGTGGAGCTTCATTGCGGTGGCTTCTGTGTCAAGGCAGAGCAGAAAGTGTCTACTCTCAGCCCCCTTCCTCACGATTTATATGTTGTCATTCAGTGGTCAGTTCTTGTGTTAATTTTTATGGTGTCATGGAGGGCCTGACTGTAAGTGGAAAATTTGAGTTGCTTTTTCTGGTGAGAGAGAACCACCTCCTTTCCCCCACCAGTCCTTCACTAGCCCCCCTGAGAAGGCTTTTCCTGCTCAAACCCACTGTGGTTGCACTTGCTTCTGTGCTGTGACTTGGGTTTATTTCTAGCTGCAAAAAGTGAGAGCTCTTGTGCTGTAGTGGAAACCTGTAATAAGTGTTCCTGTCATTTCACACTTCAGTTTTGAAACCTTTAGCTGCAGAGACACAGAGTGACATTCAGAATCGCCTCGCTGACCAATGAACCACTGGAAAGGGGAACTGTGAGCTAAAGGATGATGGAAAGAGGAACACCTTGGCTCTTTCCAAGCAGCTTGGATGGTTTGTCACGTTAACATGTAGCTGTGGAGGGATATCTCTGCTATTTCCTATGAGCGGTTGGTGTTGCCTGAGCACTTCTGTTTGCTCTGTGTCTTGATATGGCCAAAGCTGATATCAGTGTGCTGGGAGAAGCAAGAATGAATACACCTTTGCATACAGATCCAGATCCAGTATGCCTCCTGCCAGTCAGGCATAACTAAAATGCAATGGTTTCAAAGAGGAGTATGAGTTTGTAAAGGGTTGTCTTAGGGTTGCTTTGGTTTGGACTTCTGTTTTTTTGTTTGTTTGTTTTGGGGGTTCTGTTTGTTTGGTTTTGGTTTTGTTTGCTTGTTTGGTTTGGTTTTGTTTATTTTGGAGGTGGGGGTTGTGGTGTGGATTTTCTAGTGCAAAAAATGTGGCCCAAGAAAGTAACTAGGCAATCAGAGAGGCATAAATTATAGAAAAGACAAAAAATTAATTGCACTTTCATGTAAAGGTGATGCTGATAACAGGCCTGTCAGCTTGTTACAGTTGTATCTCTGTTCCAAGTGCCCTTTTCTCCACACTGTGCCAACCCTATCAGCCAGATTTAGCTGTCCTGCCTGTCTACTGTGGTCCAAGTTACTGGATGGCATTGCTACAAACCAGTGGTTTTGAGCCTGCAAATATTTGTCAGGCCAGTTGTGGACCTCCAGGCCACACACAAAGCAGCACCTCAGCTGGCATCAGAAATCTTCTCACATGCTGTGAGAAACAAAGTCCTTTTATATTTTTGAGAGTTTTAATAAATAAGGGATAATTGTAAAGCAAAAGTTACAGGACTGGGTGCATGGCCAAGCCATAGGCACACCCATTTCTTCAGTCTGCAATCTTTTATACTGTTACAGTTTTGTTTCTTACTCAGATGATTTTGCAAATTTATTTATTACAGTTTTGCTTCAGATTTTTGCAGCGTTTGCACAATAGCTGCAGATGTTGGCAGTCTAGGGTGGTCTTCTGATGGTCTTCTGATGCTGCTTTAAGCTTGGTACTCTTCCTTTTATGGTCTTCTGCTCTCTGCCTACCATTTTGGATATACATTTTGCAATAGCAAGCATATCTTAAAATACATCATTTGCAAACCTGCTTACATCTTGCGAAGCCTTTCTTCCTCTTTTATACTGTCCAGAAACAAATACAATTTTTTTCATACTTAAAAACAGTCTAACACAATGATTAATTGCAAAGAATTACAATTTTATAATTAGGGCAAATAAATTGTAGTGAAAGCAACTCTTGCATAACTGTTTATAACATGTGCCCTGTGCAGCTCTGTAGAAAACCCCCAGCTAGTCCTGGTATGAATAGGTAAACACCACGCTGTCTGATGCCTGGGCTTGTGAACAGCTGTCAGTGCAAGGACTGGAGAAACCATGAGTGTCCTGGTTTTGGCAGAAATGGAGTAGTTCTAAATGTAATAGTTTTCTTTTTTTTTTCAACAAGATAAAGAATTTTTAACTGTAATAATTGTGGTATGTACCCAGTTTCATGACAGCAGCCCTGATGAAGGAAAAGAAATATGCACTGAGTAGAGTTTTGCCTAGTATCAAGAGTTCATGTCTCAGGGCAAAGTGTTTGTAGTACTGGATTTTCTCATCCTGTAGTCACCTTTTAAAAAGAGAGGCCAAGATCTTAATGAATAACTAAATTCTTATGTAGTCCTAGAAAAGAGTATTTTTGGTGGATTGTCAGCAGTCCCTTGCACTTGAATTTGTGCCATCAGGTCACTTAATCACTTTTGAAGACCAAATGGGGGCATTTAGTGACTTTCAGAGAGGACTTAAGAAGCTCAGCTTAAACACGGCTGTATCTCAGTTAACTGGTTTTAGGAAGGACATTGTCACCCTCAGGGGATAAATGTCTGTCTCTATTATCTATAGAAGCAATTTGTATATGTGTCTTATGCTGGACACATATTATTAAGTGAAGTTGGGTGAAATATGTAGGACCCTAATGTATTTTGATTTTACATTTTCTTAACACTTGGAGTACTGGCAGAAGAATTACCAGCAAGTGACATCCAGCTGTGATGTTTCCATGATTTTCTTCCCTTGCTTTTCATCACTTTTGCTCTGTAGTTTTCATTCTGATTTCATAAGTACCTGAAATAGTAGTTTGTGTTTAGTATTTTAATTCATATTGTAATGGGGTAGAAGCAAACACATTCTCAGTGTTCACATCTCAGCTGAGATGATTTCTAATCTAAATTTATGGCTTCAATCAGATTTTTAATAACTACTCTGTTTTGTGCTGGTTTTACCAGAACTCCTTCTTTAGAAATGTAACCCTATTAACAATACTTTCTCTTAATCATAATAAAGTTTTTGCTCGTAGACCATCTGTTTCCATGACTGCACTATTAGCTTTTTCCTGCCAGCTTTTCCTTGGTCCTGCCATTTTTCCTTGATGTATTATGTGCTCTTAAATAATAGTCAAAAATCAAATCAATCAAAATCTTTCTTTAGTCATTCAACTGGAAGTATTCGGATACATAAAATTACACTGGGAATGATTTGATTTGAAAGGGCCTAGAGGTCTTTGCTCTTTCTTTCATTCAGTGTTATCTTGTTTTGTTTTAGTTCATTGAGCTTGTTTTGGTTTAGTTATACACACACCCAAGATCTACAAAAGGAGTATTTGTATCCTCATCCTTATAATCCTAGTCTTGTGAGATTTTGTTCTTTGAGAAATCCATTGTGGGAAGTCAACTAAACCTGGTGCAATGCTATTGCTGTGGAAAAACACAGAGGTGACTATAGCTTGGTTCTGTGAATGTACCTAAATCTTGTACATGCTGAAACAGGAGTCAAATAACTTTGTGACTTTGTGGAATATTCTCAATCCGTGTGGGGATACCTTCTAGCAGCCTTCCACTACCTGGTGTGGGCTTATAGAGACTAGAGAGGGACTTTTTACAAGGACATGGAGTCCTGGGACAAGGGGAAATGGCTTCAAAGTGAACGAGGGTAGTCTTAGATTAGATATTAGAAAGAAATTCTTTACTCAAAGAGTGATGAGGCACTGGAGCAGGTTGTCCACAGAAGCTGTGAATGTCCCATGCCTGGAAGTGTTCCAAGGCCAGGTTGGATGGGGCTTTGAGTGAACTGGTCTAGTGGAAAGTGTCCCTGCCCAAAGAAGGGGAGGTTGGACTAGATAAAGTCCTTTCCAACACAGGTCATTCTATGATTCTATGGTATGATTATCCTTTTTCTTTCTTGTTTTGTTGGATTCTTTTTCTTGTTATTTCTTTTTCCACTTCCTGTCACATAAAGCAGAAAATGCAGATTTGGTTTAGTGCTTCTTTTTGTGTGCCATATCTGTAGGATCAAGGATGGGATCCAAGTCTTATGCTTATTAGTCTTGAGGAGACAAATAAAGATGGTTTTGTGAAAAATAAATTACTTTGGTTGAACCATGGATAGTCAGTGTTTAAAGCGCTGGAAATGGATCAGAATCACTATGTTGCTTCTGGATAAACCTGAGCTCTTCTCAGAAAACTGAAGAAGTTCAGACACGCACGTTTCTCAGTGGGTAACAGTTTTTTCAGTGGTATCTCATGCTTTGGAATGAGTCCTTGGCCAATTTGTATATGTTTGGATTCCTTTGCTCCATGACAGTCATCACAAGGGATATGCTGAGAGCTAAGATTGTTAGTGGAAAGGGGGAGTTACTGGTACGAGAACACACATCAGTGATATTTCTATGCTTTAAACATAACAGCGTGTGCTATTATTTACAAGTATACAGACTTTTTCTTATTACTGCCATTAAATACTTCTGCCATCATAACTGTTGAAGGGCAGGCTGTGTAATAGACAATCACAATAAAGCACCACCTTCCAGGGTTCAGAGCAATAAGCAGAACCACCAATCCTGGATTCAACTTTTGGTCTTTTACCTGCTAACTTCTTTTCCCTCCACCCAATAATTGTTCTAACTCCTCAGGTCACTTAATGTTTGGCGCATGTTTTCATGTGCCAAAGGAAACTGTGCATCTACACACTTGTGGCTGTTTAGCTCACATGTGCCATCAGACCCGCTGCATTGAATATCTCTTTTCTGCTGGATTTTCCCCACAGTGGAGGCACCATCTTGAGTCTTTCTGCTGTTAGGATGCTAGGTTTTGGAAAATTCATAGGGATTTTTGACTTTTGTTTACCATCAATAGAAATCAGCCAGTGGATAAAAAAAAAGATAAAAATTAAGGGACACATGAATGATGCAAAATGCCTTTTTTTGTAAATGGCATCTTCTTGAACTTTTCAAAAAGGAATCTTGGGATTTTTTTCTTCTGTTTTTTTTTTGTTTTGTTTTGCTGGTTTTTTTCCCCTTAAATAGCTGATTTCTAATAAATGCATTTGTTTAAAACAATAATTATCCTTGTAAGCATTTTTAATAACCAAACTTTCATGAAGGCCTACCACAGAATTTAAACAGATATGACAAATTTTAACTTATAATTATGATTTTTAACTCCTATGGCTTCCAGGAAAAGAAAACAAAAAAACCCAAAAAACCCCTCAAGAAAACCAAACACAAAAACCACCCCTA